TACATCCAAAACTCCGGCCACTTTGCAGCACCTCTGCTGCTATGACATTGCCCAGATTTCCTTCGTCTCTTGTCCGGATTGTTGCAACTGTTCTTCTGAGATCTTTTCCAGCTTCTACCCTGATCCCCTTAGCCAGAGATCCCGCCCAGCACCCAGAGAGAACTTTTTTTTTTTAGTATTTATTTATTTATTTTGAGATTGAGGGAGTGAGTAGGGGAGGGGTAGGGAGAGAGAATCCCAAGCAGGCTCCATGCTGTCAGCATAGAGCCTGACACAGGGCTTGATCTCCGAACCGTGAGATCGTGACTTGAGCCAAAATCAAGAGTCAGACCCTTAACTGCCTAAGCCACCCTGGTGCCCCCAGAGGGAGCATTTTAAAAAGTAATGTTAGATCATATTTTTCTTCTCTCTCATTTTTGTCAGAGAAACCGCCAGACCGTAGAATGGACCCTGTGGGCCACATGTTCTGATTCTCACAGTGTCAGGCTTTGTCTGTCTGCACCTTCCCCTGTTCTCTGTGCACCAGCCATCCTGACCTGCTCACTGTCCCTCATACATCAGAAACACCTTGCCGCAGGACCTTTGCATCACCGTTCCCTATGTCCAGATCATGACTCACTCAAAACCCCTTTCAGACCTGTTCAGATGTCATTTTCTTCATGAGATTATGACTGCCTTATCTAGAATTGTAACCTGTGACACGTTCCCCTAGTCTTGATCTCTCTTTCCCATCTCGATTTCTTTTCCAAATGTTCGAATGCACTGTCATTATATTCATTGCTCACTCTTCCCTGCCCAGAAGACCATAAACTCCGTGAAGGCAGGAGGTTTTTAATTTTTGTGTTAGTTTGTTTCTTTGTTTTTGTTTTTCACCGATGCTTCCTCAGGATCTAGAACAAGGTGTAATACGTAGTGGAGGGTCAGTTAGCTTTTCTACAACGAATGAATCCCACGAGCAGCCACGAAGGGTGCATTTTCAGTGGCGAGGGACGTCTTTCCAATGTCACGTGCCACCTTTGTTGTTGCCAGAGGGTGTCAAATTGAAGACACAGCCAAGTGAATAGCTGACCTGTGGTAGCAGTTGTCTGTGAGCGCGTTAACCTGAACGGAGTAAGTTCTCGTCAAAGCCGTTCATTTAGCGACATGAGCAGACTTCACACGAGACAGTTGGGACTCATTTACTGTTTTATTAGGTGTTGTGACAACCTGTCTGTTTCAAGGTTACCGTGTCTGTCCCTTTGCCGGGAACCATCATAAAACCTGGTAAAGTTGGGATTAAGTAGAGGAAAGGAGGTCTGGGCAGGGCACAGGGAAGTGGTGGACGAGCTCAGTCATGGGGTTTCCCGTTGCGGGTGGGGCAGCAAAACGGGGCACAATTAGCTTCCGGGCAGCACAGTGTGAAACAGTGATGTGCAAGTGAGCAGGACAATCTTCCGCTGGCCAGTGAGCTACTGTGTTTCACTGTTCACTAGGGCATCAGTCTGTGCCGCAGGATAGATTGTATTAACAGGAGCGTGAGCGAGGTTAAGTGCCGCTGGAAGTTACTGGTGCCTGATTCCAAGTTGTTGAGAAAAGACACCTTGTACACCAGGGTCAGGTGGTACGGTAGGTGCTCAGAGCCTGAGGCCAGACAGGATCGAGTCCCTTGCAATGCCTGGGTCCCCATGGCCAGTGGGTCTGCCGTGCAGTTGACACGCACACTGTGCCTGTGCGCGCACCCCACTTTGTGCTGAGGTGGAAGGACCCCTCTCCATCCCCCTCGGGGGTGCAATGCAGAAAGCTGGGGTCGTGCCCGAGAGCCATTGATGCACACAGGCCTGTACATCAGGCCTGGAAGAGGGAAGGATACTGCCCCCCAAGGCAACAAGGGGAGCACAGGCTGTGCGGGCCGTCTGTCTCTAGACAGGAAACGTTCCAGGCCCGAGGGCCATTCTTACGCAGCCCAGGGGGGTGGGGGTAGGACAGACCATTGCCTTCCCAACACACTGGAGAGAGGGTGAGTTAGAGATGCGCTTGTAAAACTTGCAGGGTTCAAGGAGATTAAAGCACTGTGGTGGCAGTGGTCACCAATTCCCTCTTGGCCAAGAGGCCTGGAAAACCCCTGTGGTGTCTAGGGCTGTGTGTGTGAAATGGGCTCACGTTGATCACCCAGCCTCTGCCGGAAGCTTAACGGAAGCCAGAGGACTTCAGAGGGCATGGCTGAAACCGCTTGCTAGTAACGGGTATTGGGCGAGAATAAGGGATTGTTGACATGGGAGGTGGTGGGGAAAACATGAATTTAGAAATGAAGGTTTTTTAAATGTCTCCAGGACCTTAAATCCAAGATCCAAAAATGTGTAAAACCTAATCTATGTTGAGGCAAAGGCCACCCCTAACAGATCTGTATCTGCTCTGTGTATCGTCACGTCAGAGGTGTCCTGGCTGGTTTAGAAGCGCTTTTTACCTCCTGATTGCTTGTCTTGGGAACCTGCACTGAGGCAGACTGTCTTAGTCGGCACCTGGCTCCAAGCACGTAGATGTGAGGAGGGCAAGTCTTCTCTTAGGCAGACTCCCGTGCCTTCTCAGTTCAGGGCTGTAACAGGTTCACTTACGAAAATGAGGCAGACGCGCAAGCGTATTTTTCTCTCACCGAGAGAAAGTCACCTGCCGCGATAGGGCTTGGTCATCACCTGGGCCCCGGGGTTCAACCAAGAAGGAGAAGGGGACTGAGAGGCAGATGTTCTGAGGATGTGACATGCGCCTCCGTAGCTAGAACCTCCCACGGGTACTTTTTTTTTTTAACGTTTATTTTTTGTTATTATTTTTGAGAGAGAGAGACGGAGACAGGGGGGGAGAGAGAGAGGGAGACGCAGGCTCCGGGCTCCGCGCTGTCAGCTCAGAGCCCGACGCGGGGCTCGAACTCTTGAACCTTGAGATCATGACCTGAGCCGCAGTCAGACGCTTAACCCACTGGGCCACCCGGATGCCCCACCTCCCACCGGTTCTTTTGTGGTTTGGGCAGAACTGGAAGGCTGCCACTTGTAATTACCCCCTGTGCATCTGTTGGTTGGTCGCTCTGAGCCTGTGATGACCCCCCGTTCTTACGGCGTGAAGGAGGGATGTGAAGCCCGTTCCCCGAGCTTCGGGCAGTTGGGGGGATCTGCAGCCCGCTGTCGCCATGATCACTGAACGTGGCCTGGGTGGGAGGGCGGTGTCTGCTCCTGCCCCAGTCGGCTTGGGCCACCATGATGAATGCCATAGACCGGGAGGCTTGCGGACATTTATTTTCTTACAGTTCTGGAGGCCAGAAGTCCAAGCTCAAGCAAGGTTCAGGCCAGTTGGGTTTCTGGTGCAAGCTGTCTTCCGGCTTCCTTCCCAGGTGGTGTCTCCTCTGAGCACAGGGGACTGAGCGCACTCCTCTCTCTCTCCTTGTAAGGATCCTAATCCTGCTGGATCAGGGCCCTCACCCTTATGACTTCATTAACCCTAAGCACCTCATAAAGGCCCTCTTGTCAAACGCAGTCGAACGCTCTAACTGGAGGTTAGAGCGTCATTGGAGGGGACAAAACTCAGTCCCTAGATGTTTTCAGTCTTTTTTGTTTTTATTTATTTGTAAATCCATTATCCCTCTGTTCCTTTGAACTAAATACTATGTGTCTTTTTTCACAAGGGCTAATTTCGTAAACTAAAGAATAGAGTGGACATATCATCTTAAATATTTAGAATGACAGATGTCTGTAAACCACAAGTTTGAGAATCACTGAACAGTATCCTTTGACCATAAGTGGAGGGCAAGTTGGGATTTGCTCCTCGACTCTATCTAAAGTTGTTTTGTAATTATCTCCCTGTCACCCCCACCACCACTATGTCACCCACAACCAAGATTTTACCCTGGACCTTCTGAGAATGCTGAGGTCCTTTTGAGAAAAAGGAAAGAAAGAAGTGTGTGAAGATAGGAGATTAAGGGTTAATGTGTAAATATAATTATATGTACTTATGGTATCTTATAGTTAGACCTTAGTTTTAATTTTTTTACTATATTTTGAGGGCAAATTTAAATGATAACTTCCAAAGCATATCTCAAGAAGGAAGAGTAAGGATACGAACCATACCAGGATACCCACTGCCCACAGAGAAAAAGAGCCTTACTAATGTCTAAACAGTTGCATTCCTGTCCCTTCTGCACAGAAGGGCTGATACTTTGTTTATAACTTCCTCCATCCTTCCCGTGTTTAGTACATGGATTGTGATCCTAATAATAGATTGTTTGGTTTTGCAGGGTGATGGGAGGAAGTGGGTTTCTTTTTCCTTTATTGTTAACATTGTGGTTGGGGAGGAAGAGAAGAGCAGGTCTTGCATTAGATCCCTTTCTTGGGGGAGCCCCAGGCGTCACCACTGATGCCCTACCCCCAACAAGACCAGGGAAACGGCCACTCTCAGTCCTTGGGGCCCAGCAGTGCCCTTCTGATAAAAACCTGCTGCCGTCTTTGGGGGTCCCTCCCACTCCTTCTTGCTTTGCAACCTCTTATTGTGCCTTCCTGCCTTCTGAGTTCATCATGACAGGTAAAAATACTTTGTTTTCATATTTTATCCACTATTTTTAGCTGTTTCGATCCGAATGCTCTACTGGGACATTGACTAGGCTTCTGGTCAATGGAAGGCTCTATCCTATGTTTAGTTTTAAAACACTTCCATCATTTTTCTGTGCTTTCTTTTCACAGAGCCATATGGTCCTGGAAGAAACTCATTTTGATTGTGAGCCAATTACTTTCTTTTCCATTTATTTATTTATTTATTTATTTATTTATTTATTTATTTAGGCCTCCCTCTTTTAAATGACTACCTAGCAATTTGACAAGATGTATGTAAACAGCTGATTACATTGCTTGACTTGCTGGAGATTATTCTTTTCATTGGGATGCACCTGGGTAGGAAGTATTATAAGTACATTGAAGAATGGAATTGTCATTTTGTTTAGAGTTTGTATGTGTGTTTACATGTGTGTATGTATTCTCTACCAGGCTGCTGCACTGAATAGTAATAAAGATTCCGGCCAGAACTTCTCGAGATTGTTTAATGGACACGTTTACAGTGGTGTACAAACTTTGGGGAAAGAGCTCTTTATGTACTTTGGACCAAAAGCTTTACGGTAAGATAAACCTGTACAATGCATCTTATCTCTCTCCGTTGAAAGATGTGTAGGAGGCTTTTCTTGTAGTTCGCCGGGTGTCACATTTAATCATGTAGAAAGTACTCCATTTTTAAGAGGGCTCTCGTATAAGAGGTTGAGATTCTATCATGGAAAGCCATAAGCAGCAGCAGAATAAATTGTGATGTCATCGTTACTTGGAAGGCTAGTCAATGTCTTTCTTCTAAGAAAAACCGATAGGCTGGAAGGGCTTCTGGGAGATGTTGGAGGAGCGCGGCGGGGCACTGCTCTTTGCGGATTCCCCACACGGCTCTTCTCCCCTCCTGTTTTCACCAGGCATTTATCGTATCAGTGACAGCAGTTTCTCTGCATTTCTCACAGCTCCTAGTTTGGTTTAAGCCTGTCTGTAGATTTTTATATTTTTCCATCTCCCTTCTTTTTCTGAAGTCTTGTATGCAATCAGAAGCTTACTTGTAGAATTCCAAAACTGTGCACAGAAGTCACAAATTCTCCATTCTTTCACAGCGCTTTTGCAAAGTCATTGCTAATGTGTTGGCAGTGAACGACGAGCAGTCCGCTACCTTGGTTGACTTAACTACAAAAATGTCACAATGTTTGTACCTGCCAGAGCGTGATCCCCTGTTTAACGTTTGCAGGAAAATGAGAGAGGCCTGTGGATTTGTATCTTTGTCTTCTCAGAGTTTAGCCTAAGGTATCGCAAACTGTAAAGAATGGTAGCGCCTCCTTGAATCTCTTTCAACGTGTCTTTAAGATACTGAGCGATTTCACCTTGACAGAAGAGTCCTGTTCCTAGAGACCTCGTGTTTCTAACTGAAGGCGGCTGATGGTCATGAGGAGATCATATGACTGGATGATGGTTATTTACTGCACCTCGTCTCCCACACGTTTAGAGAACTTCGGAGTTGATGACATGGCTTTTCCTTTGAAATGGGCTCTCTGTGTTGTCAGCAGCTGCTGTCCTTGGACAAGTATCACTTCATGGTTTTGTCTTAGTCTGGAAATGATCGCATCAGCGTATGCTTACTGGTTCACGCAGTAATGACCCACGGAAGGCTGCATTATCGTTTTGGTAGATGGATGTGATTGAAAACTGTTGACTCTGAACGGAGCGGGACACAATGGAGCCCACGTAAGGTAGTTGAAACACTGATGTGTTATTGATTCTCTGGTGTTAGGTGCAGATTTATTTCTGTAGGATGAGAGGGACGTTTTTATCAGGCATTCTCCAGCAGACTGAGAAAGGGGGAATCATTTCTCAGTGCTCGGCTGTCAGTAAGTGTTCCCTGAAGTTCTAAACAAGGGCAATCACCTCTTTAAACGAACTGAACTGGTACCATCCCTGGGAACTACGTGTCTCCACGTATGGATGGAGAAAAGTGCAGTGTCTGGCTTCCTTTCAATTTCCTACAGCCCTAACGACTATTTGATGTAATAATTCAAGGTCGGTGGCAGATCAGCTATTTGAATACGAGCCGAGTAACCTAAAATCAACTGTATCCCCCTTCGCAATTTAATATAAGTTAAAAATACACACACACATATGCATATATACACTCCCAACCTGCGCTTCTTAGAATGGGTGACTGTCAAAGACATGTGATCGCTGCGTGAAGTTGCGAGTCTGTGGGCGCGAGATAGAAATGTAGTGTTCATTTCTGACCTCGTGTTGCTACCCACCGGGCTGCTCTGCATCTTAGAGAGCAGGTAGCAGGAAACCCACTTAGTGATCGCTTCCATTTATCCCTTAATGCGCAGCTTTTTACAGTTAAAAGTGCCCTGGGCTTTAATACATCTTACAGGGCAGGCCATGAATCTTCCTGGTATTCACGCATAATGGAAGTAGAACATGGCCCGGCACTCTGTAAGAGGATCTGCCTTGCAAACATCCACACTTCAGAGGGATACAAATTAGAGTGAGTATTTCTGTTGCTAAAAGATGTATCAAAGTGCTCCAACGTTCCTGTGAGTGCCATAGAAGACTGAACTTATTTGCTACGCGTTTATTTTTTGGAGCCCAGTTGTGGCGTCCTGTGTGACTAATACCTGCACTCCTTCTGAACACTTTAAAGAAGCTTGTCACCTATGACAAAACAAAAATCATTTTAAGTTTTTGGCTATACACGTGGCAAATACTCATTAGAGGAGGCCGAGCCGTAAAGAGCAAGCAGGAATAAATGTATACGTTGGCGGTCTCGCTCCCAAGGATCACCTCCCTTAACTGTGGGTGCATGCACCAGCACCTGGTACTGTGTGGGCACACAGACACACACACCCTCCAAGCTGCCATTTTCCATCAAACTGAACCCAGCTGTTACATCTTGGACCAACATTCAAAAGATATTTTTTTAATGAATCTCTCTTTCCAAAGCACTTCGCTATTTCCAGCTTGTGACTTATATGACTCCGGTGGCTTGTATCGTATTCGGAAACTGTTATCTGAAACGTTTCGGAGGCTTTGCCATTTTAGAGAACCTTTATACATTATCGATTTTGTAATTTATTGGAGTTTAAGTGATACTATCCTCTAAACAGATTTGCATGAGACAACATGTTTGCTGAACAGCCTTTAAGGAATCTATCCTACGCTACTCACAAAAGGGTTTTACAGCTTAGACGTGGTTCTTGCGATCTGTCACTTAACATGTTAGAAAAACCGAAGCGTGGGGAGAGATTCTAAATGAAATCATGTACTTTAAGAGGAGTCACTCCTCCGATGCGTCTGCCTCCCTTGCTGACTTGTCTCTTAAGGATAGCACTTCTTCTGGAAACTGGTCGTCTGGCCACACTAACTGCAGAGTTCCTGTTGACTCTGACACAGTGTTACTGAACCTTCTCTCTCACACAGTGGGTTGGGTCAGTGTGGGTTCTTCTGTGAGACTTTCTCATCTGAAGGCTCTGTGATGTAGGCAAGCTGGGATATGAGGCCTCAGGACTTGTCGGTGGCCATGTTCCCGGGCTTGTGAGGTGGTGCAGGATAAAACCAGCCTCTGCACAAAGGCTTTAGCCCCTCCTTCCATCCATTCCTGCGATCCGGCTGCTTTCCTGCCTTTGCTGTGCTTGATTCTTCAGACTTCCCCTCCGATTCCATGAGCTCAGTATTCCTAAACCTGTTTCAGTTGGGTTTCTGTTACCTGCAAGTTAAGAAAACTGACCATTATCCAAAGGTACAGACTTGCAGTTTACCGTGTATTTTCTCTAAATACATCCTGCGATATAACATACAGCATGGGGACTACAGCGTTTGATAACACTGTATTGCATGTTTGAAAGTTGCTAAGAGAGTAGATCGTAAAAGTTCTCATCACAGGAAAAACATTTTCTTAACTGTGTTTGGTGACCTATGTTAACTAGACTCACTGTGATCGTTTTGCAATGTATACAAATACTGAGTCATTCTGTTGTACAGGTGGAACTAATATAATGCTCTCTGTCAGTTGTACCTCCGACTTAAACGAAGGAAAGAAAGAAGGAAGGAAGGAAGGAGGAAAGAGCGGAAGAGAAAATAAGAGCACTCACCGTTAAAAGTAATCTGTGGGCAGAAAATTAAACATCTTTAGTTCGTGAGATGATAAATTGCTGACATTTTTATTTTCTTTTTCGGTTGTGATGGTCCTGTCAGGCGTAACTGGAGAAAATCTGGAAATCTTCACCTCTTTCTCTCCTTTTTCCTCCTGCACCTGATGGCCTGCGTGATCACCAGTCCTGCCTGCCTTTTCCTGTTTCACTTAATAATACACGCCATCCTATTGCAATTTTTTTCCTTATTTTAAAAGTAATGCATAAGTCGATTATAAAACATTAAGAGAGTTCCAAAAAGTCTAACGGCAAAAGTAAATACCACCCATAATTACAATCACCAAAAAAGGGCACTCTTAACAATGTTTGTACACATCATAGATAAAATGCAAATTGTATACATACCATATATTCATACACAGTTTATATCACATGTGCACGGATCATATGATATTTATGTATTACAGTCTTTATATAAATGGGAATTTTAATTATGTGAGGCTTTTGTTTTACACAGTATGCATATTGGTGTCAAAATATACGTGTGCCTTATTATTTTGCATAGTATTCCACTAGATCATGTATATCTCACTGCTGATTAGCATTTCACCCCATTTTTCGCTCTAATAAATACCTCTGTAGTGAACATCCTTGAGCATGTATCTTTTACCATTGTGATGTTTCCTTAGGATAAATTCCTAGATGTGGATTTGCTGGATCTTGGTTACTGGGGCTTTTTTT